CACCACACTACATTGTATCATACATACTTGCCATTTTTGAAATAAATAATATTATCCCTAGTAGAGTGCTAGACACTAGTCCAGATCTTACGCTCGCGCCTTGACTTTCGCTCGTCAAAATTTGGGATGAAACTGGTAAATTCGATTTTCTATATTGAGCCAAAACCCATATCCGTGAGAATATAGACGTAAGGCTCTTAGCGTAAACGTTATACGTTTTCACGTTTACGAAATAATTTTAAATGTAATTACGCTTTACGTTATGAGACCTGATTGAGAGCAATGGTTGGAGACTGGTCACTGATGTGTGGTCAGTAACTGGTGACTAGACTCTCTCTAAAGAGAGTAGTGTCTGGCTGTCTGAGTGTCTATTGAATGGTGACCGGACTCTAGTCTTTTGTTTAGTGTGAAAGTGACTGGAATATATTTTAACTATTTTTTAACATTTCCAATTTTTTTATATACAAAAAACTTTAAATATAAAAGTATACTTGTTGTATGTGAAAAGTCAAACACACAGTCGAAACCTTTCTTTGAGAATCGAATGCGCGCTATATTTCGATTGAATAATAAAAGTTGTTATCTGCCATCCTATTCAATATCCAACATTCCACGCATTTTTATATACTACATACTAAATACTAAACTCTGTATCAAGTATCAAGTATCCAGTGATATCTCATATCTGATTATGCATACATACCAGAATCCAGCAGATACCTTTTCTCACTCTGAGAGTAATCATAAACCCTTTTGTTTTGGTTTGAACGGAATCAAAGCCTGCCTAATTTAGAATTTAGAAGGCTATGCTTGAATTTTTATACACCCTGAAGTTTGGACCCTAATTTAGACGTTTAAACGTAACACAAGCCACTTTAACGTAATATCACGATGATTATCGTCTACGGCAACCAGGTAAACCCATGGTCAGACACTCTCTCAACTAGTCTCTACTCTTAGCTACTCTCGAGTCTTGTGAAGCTCTCTACTACTAATCTTTACTCTACTAGAGTAGTCCTACTAACCTCACTCTCTTGTGCAGAGTGCAGGAGTCAGAATTGCAGAGTGCAGACTGCAGAGCGCAACTGCAGAGACTCAGAGTAATGATGAATCTCGAGTTCTCGACTCTCAGTCTCTCTCTCTCTCCTTGACAAAAGAGTAGAAGAGTAGTGGGTCAACTGATATTAATGATTTAATAGAGTATTCAGGATAGAGAGCCAGAGTAGGATGGTAGGAAAATATTTATGGAAATATAACAGACTATAACTATACACGAAATCGACATAGTGGCACGTGCTCACAAGAAGTCACAACTCACAACACAAGTGAACAAGAAGCAAGAGTGATTAAAAAAATGATTGAATATCACCAGTGCCAGAGAATGTGATGAGTCGTCACATTCTCAAAAAAATGGCCCGGATTTTTTTTGGGGGGGGGGATTTTTGGGAATGTAACGAGTCGTCACATTTTACTTCGAATTGTTTTAGTGCTTATTTCCCCCACGAATGATTTGTTTTGGCCGTTAGCTATTTGTCGGAATCGAAAGACCGGAAAATTCAGCGCGATAACGAGCCAAGAAACACATTGATCGGACAATCGACTCCGAAATGGTAGATGTTTGAAGTTGCTACTTCTATAGTATGAAGTTGTAACTTCTATAGTAGGCATATTGTACTAGCATAGTAGTTGCAAAGCCATTATGGTACGCAAAGATTTAGACTTAACACACCCTCAGCGAGAGGCGGATAACCGCCCACAACATACACATGATGTACATGTTGATAGTTATAGTGAAATTCATTCACTAGATCCATGCGATTCACTAGATGCACGCAATGAGAGTTGTTTTTCACGATTCCACAAAGATGAACACTTCAAGGGCGAGTTGGTAGGCGTTAGAGGGAACAGACGCAAGTCTAGTACCAACGGCAGTGATAATGTTAGTGGGGATGGTAACTCTGCTGACGACGAGTGCAACAGACGTACTAGTGGCAGTACTAGTGTTAGTGATGGTAGTTCCTCCGATGACGATGAGCGCTAGTAGCTATGTCAAGGACCATGGGTTTACCTGGTTGCCGTGGTCTCTACGGGGCGGGGTGGGGCCTCGTAGGCAAGTGAACAGTGTTAATAAAACCCTAAACCCAAATCATAATAGCCTTTTTTTTAAATATAATTTTATGGAATGAAATATTCTTAAAAAATCCGTCTGTACTTTTGAAATATTGTTGGAAGTGCAAGTCTGGTTTTGGGTCTATTTTGACAGTTTCTATCCTGATAATTTACCTTGTGGATCTAAATTATAAAATATATTCCTGAAAAAAAAAACAACTAAATAATTCATGCAGTCCTAAATTTTGATGAGTAAGCTAACTAATAAAAATCATATTTGTGAATGTAACGAGTCGTCACATTTCATTTTGATTTTTTTTCTTTGTACCAGTTCTGGTACAAACTATTTTTGAAAAATAAAATGTGACGACTCGTCACATGTTGTTTTGGCACTGGTGATATGTAAATATTTAAATATGTGTGAGTTGTATATTTTTTGTTAAATAACAATTACAAAACAAAATTATTATGTATTTGTTATACACACAAGTTTATACAAACATATATTTTGATTTGTACTTTATATTTTTGTTAGGCGGTTCGGATATGCTACCCTGGTTTAGAAGCCATGAGCGGGTCCAAAACCCAGGGGGGGGGGACTTATGAATTTTTGGCCTAGACCCCATTTATACCCGCTGGGTGTGGCCTATTATGGGCCTGAATATGTCCGCAAATAAACGCAGTACGTTTTCTCAACATCCATCATACAATGAACCTGTGCTTTCGAGCGCCAATACTGATACTCTGTACGAAAGCAAATGATTATAAAAACATACCCTAAAACGTAAACTTCCTAGCCCAATATTGGCCCATACACAATATTTGCGTAAACTTCAAGGCCCAATATTGGCCCAAACACGTTATATTTGGTCCCAGAATTAAAAGTAAAAAGTGCAGCTAAAGTCCGAAAAGTCAGGTTGGGGGGATGGGGGCTGAAGGGTAGCATATCCGAACCGCCTTAGGACAATTAGCAGGCAAGTTGTTTTTATATATAATGTATGTACTATATTTACAGGAGTAAATCGTTTTTTAAAATTACTGGTTTTGTTTCGTTTATCTATAGTATTGTCACACAAAGAGAGAATTGAAGAGATAATTGAGAAACCGGCTTTCACAACAATCACGAATTCACGAGAAGTAAATTTAGAATTCCATAAATAATTCATATGTAGACACTCTTTTATTCTATAATTTCTATTGTTTTATTCTGCATTTCTTTTGTAAATTGAGGATTTTATATAATCACAAATAGATCAACAGGCTCGAGTGGGCTTTTCACATATTGCAACAGATTACAGACGACAGAGACTGTCACCAAGCCTCCCAGCTCCCAGCCCCTAGCCCCAGGGCCCCAGCCCCTAGGGCTATGACTACGAAGTAGATACGAAATCCTGAATCGCTTTAATCTTTTGTTTTTTTTACAAAACAAGTATAAAATGATTGTGCAAAAATATTTCTGCTTCGTTTTTTTTATTAAAACAATTAAAAAAAAGGCAAATAAATATATAAAATATCATTGTATTAAAATGTTTTAGATATTTGTTTTTAGAAAAAGGGGGTTTTTTAGAAGCAATATAGAACATTAGTTGTTCAACAAATTTTGGTTTGTTTTTTTATAGGTTTTTTAAAAACAAATAAATAATAAAAATCACTGGAACGTAGTATTCATTTATTTAATAAAAAAAAACTGCACACCTGTGAGGCTGTGACTGTGTGAGTCTGTGGCCTGAGACTTCAGAGTTCAGACAGAGTTCAGACTTGTTTGAGGCTGACTAAAATAACCGGACACCCCGCGTAAGCCATATAAAGATATAAACTTCATCAATATGTATAATAAATAAACATAAATATAGCCTGAATCCCGGCAATAGTTTAAAACACCCCCCCCCCCCCCAAAACCAAAAATTATATTTTTGTTTTTGTTTTTGTTTTGTTTTGTTTTAAAACAAAAGAAAGAAAACAGATGACGCCGACACGACACAGGGTCAGTGTCGACTGTTGTATTCAGAGGTCCGACAGAGGCTTTCGGCTCGCAGGCCGCAGAGTTATAGTAAAGAGGGTTTAGCCGGGACCGGTCCTTTACACACGCACACGCTCTCTCTCTACACTAGAGTAGAGAGGCCATAGGGCCCTGAGCTTATTTTTAAGTTATTACATAGGCCTCCCTCAGAGAGAGAGTCGAAGACTCGGAGAGGTTACCTTGTGTAGCCCTTGGGGTGGGTCTGGGACTCTGGTGGGGCATTTGGGCCCTCTCTCTACTACTACTCTAGCTAGTAGTATTTAGAGAAAGTAAATAGGGAAGAGAGGCAGAGACCCTGACCGCCTGAATAGGCTAATAGTCGAATTCCCACTATTTAGATTGGCGGTAAAAGCTGATTAAAGTATTCTTTTTCAAAAACACAAAATCATTCCGGTTTTAGGGATCCCGACTAATCCGACTCCCGATTCCCGACTCGAGTTCCCGACCACGCAATAAATTTTTATAGAAACAGACATAGCCTCCTAAATTGAACAAAACACTAAACATAATTTTATTTTGTTCAGTTTAGACTTTAGAAGACTATGTTTATTTGTACCTCTTTTTATATAAACTACAGGTAAAATATATATAGAGTTAAAGACCACCAGTATTGTTTTTATACAAAAATAAATAAATAAATAAAAGCTGTGTAAATATCAGTGTCCAGTCTGATACGAAGATAAATATTTACCGCCGGCGGAGGCTGAATAAGCCAAATAGGGGAAAAACCGATTTATTGTATTATTTTATTTGTTTTATATATATACGTATTACTATTTTCAAAAACCTGTCTAAACAATAGCGTTGGTTAGATGGCAGATTGGCAGAGGGCCAGAGGGCAGAGGCCCCGACTCCCGACTCCTAGAGTCCAGATTACTGAGATTAGGCTGCATCATCTGTGTCCTGTGAACCTGAGATTGTGCTGTAAATGTGAGGTTGTACTTTAAAAGGCTGCGAGGACTGGGAGAGTGGAAGAGTGAGAGGCTGAGAGCCCTTGATATGGCTTGAGCCTATAACTCGCGAATCACTGCACCCTGAAGCCTTAGGTAACTTATTAGCTGAGTCCCGATTTCCTGCCACCGACGTAGACTGTAGAGCAGCCCATAGGCCCACAGCACACAGGGCACATCCACAACCCTGAGCCCTGAGGCCTTAGCCCAAGCCCCAAAGTGCACAGGCCGTCAGCCTACAATCCCTAAATACTCAGACCTCAGGGCTTTTTGGCTCCCTTACTGCTCTATTGTAAATTTTGATTTTGATTTTTTTTTTAAATGGCGCCGGGCGCCCTGTGCTGTGACTTGTGTGAAGTTGTGAGGGCCACCCCTCAGGGCCCTCACAGGCTTATTTACTCACAATTTCATCATTAAACTCGCAGTCAGTGGAGGACTGATTTACTCGACATTTCTTTCTACAAAACAGGGACCTCGCGGAGTTAAAACAGTCATCGAGGTGATTTTTTTTATTAAATGACTCGGAGCGACCAGCTGAGCCTGGGGGAATCCGCATGTACATACAAAATAGATCGACACTGATGTTCCATTTATAACTATTGTGTAGTGATGACTGTCACTGACGGTGACGGTGAACACTAGGAAATCGAAACCTTGCGCTTGCACATAGTATATATAGGCTGTTTGACGGACGAATAAACCATTTGTGACGTTTCAATCCAACGATTTCGGTATAGTACTATTTTAAATAGGGTGACAAAACATCGGGGATAATTACTTAGCGTAAAGTGACGAAGAACAAGTCCCAACTGTGAATGAGGATTATCAACATGCATACAGACGATAAATTTGATACTAGGCACAAGAGTATACGCTACAATGGCGAGCTTGTGCAGTCCAAATTTTGTACTACAAATAATGTTACTTTAAAACCTTCTTTTCGATGGAGTTCGTTTTCAAAGTCTTCCTTCATCAATTCTAAGAAGGCAGTTTCTGCAGAGCGTGTTCAAGTTGTACAGCCGTCTGAGGAGGAGATCATACATCTTTTTCTTGAACAAACCGAGGTGAGGCATTCACATCCCTGCTCAAAAACAGGATCTGAAATACACCGAATTTCACCAGACGTTTTACAGCGACCTAAGCGATTAACCTATCTGTCGCAGAAGTCCTACAAAGTGCCGAATGAGGAACTTTTTGAGCGAATACATAATCCTTCAGATTCGGATGATGCGGTCGATATCGATAACTCGCCGACGAATCTCGTTGAGTACACTGCAGAAAATTTAAAAATTGAGTTACGCTCTTGTATAAAGAATTGCACCAGAAGAGTGAAAGGGGTTAGAGTAACTTGGGATGAGAAGGTTATGGTGGCACCAACTTTCGGTGCAAATTGGTACGATCGCAGAGTACGAAAAGTGAGCAGCATGACAGCGACGGAACAGTACCAAATGTACGAGAACTTGATGAGGTTCAAAATCACTGAGATGAGAGTACACGAAGATAGCGTGCAGAACACAAATACCCACATCTCAACTGCCAGTGGGACAATTGACTATGCTAAAGCGAAAGTTGTGGATTCTATCTTGTCGCAGCACTTAGTTCATCTTAGGCGATTGAATACGGCGTAAAGGAGATTTATCTGCGCCATTAATATCATTTAAAACTTATTATAGGAATAAATAAACTGTCGAACAAAGATTCAGTGAGTTACCTAAAATTTCAATCGGATTCAGCTGTGAAGCTGAGACATGGAGAGTAGTACATTACAGAGGCATGTTGTAGTATCAACAACGTCCAAATATCAAGGGACTTGTGTCGATAGATGCACATCGTATACTACAGCGCGCCTTACATGAATGCGGCAAATTGACCAATATTCAAAATCATCCGACATATGAAACAATGCAGCCTTGCAGCGGATGTGCTAAAAAAATATCCGCCTTAGTGGCTTTGGCATTCCGGTGAAAATGGTCTTTTAAGCTCGGTTCATTAACTCGTGAGCTCATGCGGTATACTATATACTGCCAGGAGGAGAAATCAGGGGCTGTCGAACTCCCCTCTTGATCAAGATAAAGTGATGAGAAATATACGGGAGCGTGGATATGTATATGAGCTATCTTTACACTGTCGATCGCCATTTGGGTGCATCGTAAACTGTAATAGGACAGCGGACTTGCTTTTCGATGTTATTAATTGTCTACAGCCACTGCAGAGCACAACCCCAAAGATGTCCTTTTTACTCAGTGCATATTGCTTCTATGTCTACGTAGCTCGCATCGTCCGCGGTATGAGTTATATATCGTACAAATCGATCAGTGTCGGCGGAACGGAACACGATGGACAAAGTATTTGCTGTAGAATAATGATAAACTGGTTAGAGGGTTTGAAATACATCAGGAGATCTTCGAATAACATATACGCCCCAGTCAGATACCGAGCTGTTACTACATTTAGCCAATGACGCCTTGATGTGGAACAATAATTACGCATATGCGATAGTTTATGTATTCAGATTTGGAGCTTTCAAATCTGATTAATCTTTCAAACGCGTGTAGGAAGCAATGAATAATCTAGCTGTCTACAGGATATGAACGATTTGCTTTCGAAAAGTGACAACTGGTCGATGGTTGAGCTAATGAGCAATGATATATTTCCCACAGACACAACTTGACGCGGTGTGCTGGTAAGGTCGTCAGATAGCTAAGGTTGAGACTACATGAAACGTATATCACATAAAATTGTAGACGTGGTGATCATACTCACTGAAGCACAGTCAAAACCTCGGATTCAAAGGGGATATAATCGCTGCAGACACCGAACCATCGATTCTGCAGACAATTTTGTAATCAACCATAAAATTCGGCGTGCGCGAAATCATTCTGGCAGACCTGTGACAAAATGCTCTCATGCTTAGACCTTTATGCAGCTCACACAACCCCATGCACACCCTGCCCAGCAAATACTCCG